TTAGGCGCTGCCATCTGACACCAGGTCCAGGCAAACTGTAGCGGTGGTGGAAAGACACTCGGACAGCAAGGCAGAAACCGATGCAGTAAGCAGCCCGCCTCCAGGACGGCTCCAGAACTCTGTTTACTGTAACTAGGATCTTACAGCTTTTGGAGATGACCACTAATATATTTTACCTGCTTCTCACATGTGAATGATTTTGATTTAGCTTGACTATTGACACTGCTGTTCAAGAGAAAACTTAAGAACTAGTTAAACTCCCTGGCTGGTGAATTGGTCACAACTTCCCACAGGGACTACCCAGACATCCGCAATGGTAAGTAGAGTCAAAGCCTCTACTGGCTGAGCTCATGTTTATTAGAACTATCTGCTAATGACCTAAAGGGAACGATCTTGTGAAATGTAGGAAATAGTTTCCCCAGCTATTGGTTATGACACAGGCAAATAATCTCTTGTAAGAGTACTGCAGGAAAACAAGAGTTATGTTTTATGAAGGATTTTACTTTGCACATTTGGTTTCCTTCCAGCTTGAAAGGAAACTGAGATACTTAAGGTTTCCATAAAAAAAATCCTAAAAAACAAGAGGAAAAAAGGCTGGGTTTGGATCTCATAAACGGTTTCATTTCAATTTTGACTTTTTAGAGTTGCAGAAGTTTACAAATGAAGACTCATTTTAAAACAAAAGATTCTACTGAAATACTCTTAAAATGTTTTGATTCTTGGAACTTTTCCATTTTTCCTCTGTAACTAAATATGAAGACAAAAACAATTTTATTTAAGCATTTTAAGAGAACTCTCAAATGGAAAATTGTCGACATTTTCTTTATTGACTCTATATCCCTTATTCCTCTTTTCCTTCCAAATATTAGGCCAAGGCATTCTAGAAGTAAATGGAAAAGTTACAAGTGGGTAGTTCGAAAAGAGTAACTAGCTTCTGATAAGTGAGTCCACTATCTACATATTTCTTAATATACTCTCTCTGAGCAGAAAAAGAAGAAAGAAGGTTTACAAGGTACCCTATCTTCTCCAAGGACACTGTATCAGCAAGTCATTTCAAAAACTTTAAAATACAGACTTTAGGAAACAAAAGAAAAATTTAGTTGAGAACTTACCCATTAACTCTTGCTAGATTAAGCCGGTGCTGCACACCTGTACAGTGTTGATTACAACATCAGTAACTTGAGCAGAGAACCAGGGGATTACTGGAAAAGTAGACGTTTCCATTCCAAATCTGTAGGTTTTCATTTGTTTTCCAGCTAGTGGAAGCCACATCCTACACACAATGGCCAACTGGCAAGCTTAAAGGAGGAACCCAGCCATTCAGCCGCTCCATACATCCCACAACTTGCACAGGGCCCAAACAGCATCAGACACGCACCAAACCTGGCATGTCGCACAGAACAAACCTACAGCAGCACTACGGATGTGACTGCCTTCTGCTGACGTTTCTGCAGCTTTGGCTGCAGTTTGAATCACCGTGACACTGACATTAACACCCCTTGTGAAGAGGTTTGAAGGGAGAAAATAAATGCCTAGTACAGAGCTTTAATATTTTTCTGTATATATTGATTTTAAAGCTGTGGGTGCAGTTAGGCCTTCAATTAAAGTCAAAATACAAAAAATTGTTTTGTTTAGAGTTACATTGGCAAGAATCCCAGGCACTTAACTGTTCTTCTGTAGAATGAGAAGATAATAGGAAGGAAGGAGAAGTTACCAACAGATTTTTGTTTCTTACAGAATATTAACACCATCCTTAAATTTATCGTGATGAAATGTTATATAAAAGTATGTATCGTTTAAGACCACTAGAGGGGAGTAAAGTAACTTAAAAGCGAATGTTTCCTCAACTTGGTTTTGCTGCACAAATTGCATTTGCACATGTTAATTAACAGCTATAGTAAAACCAGAGTATTAAAGAATTGCATTTGCTTAACATTCTAAGTAAAGTTGATTAGATAATTACAGTATTTCTGTACCATTGTCCCATCTCCCTAGGCTGCAGGCTGACAGGGAACATTCGTCATCTGGTTGAAGCTAGAACATCAGGGATGGCATTCAGCCAGAACATTTGGCAACAGATGTGAATTTCTTTACTTGTATTCAGATTTATAAAAAAGCTACACTACATGATGGGAACAGACTCATTTTATCAAGTGTGAAAAAGGCACCAGGCTTAAAATCTTGCTTGATAGGTAAGCATGTATGAGAGGCAGGAAAACAAGAACGTTGGTTCTCACACAGATCACTGCCCAAGCCTACACAACAGCGAAATACTTACGCAAGCAACACGAATAGAGAGAGAAGTATGATTAATTTGGAAGTGTGAAGTATTCTGCATCAGAATGCTGGGTGAAATCTCCCTCCAGCTGCAAGTAATGTGCTCCTGTATCACTGCCAGGTTACCATCATCTCCATTGTAACCAATCTACATTGTGGGAGACAAGACTGTGCAGTGAATCTCCACAAAAAAGAGCAAACGTTTAAAATAAATTTCAATGGGAAATCTTAGCAACTCCCACAGAACAAAAGGAAACATGAGAACAGAGTTCCAATGGTAGAAGAATAGATTTGACAGCAAATTTTAAGGATGAGTGACTGAAATATGTATGTATGTGACTCTGTATCTCAATACTTCTGGGACATATACTCAGCTTGAGATTTTATGGGAAAAGAAATGCTGTGTAGTAGTAAGTAGATCTCTAAAGTTCAGAGGAAAGTACCAATTACAAAATAAAATAGAGCTAAGGGGGTAATGAGATAGGAAATTCCAAAGGTGTTATGGAAAGCCTGAGAGTGCAAGGAAGCCAGAGCTTTCCTGAGTGCATGTACACAGGTTACACTAAGGTAAGTCGGATTCAATCATAGCAGTCCTGAAAGGCTTTCCCAACCCCAGACAGGGCATTTTGCAAAGATTGCAGTAATTCTGCAGAAGAACAGACAACCAGTTAAACCAGTCGGAAAACTATCAAGCATAGCAGGAGCAAGACTGATGGGTCTCTTTTTTTTCCCCCATTTACCATTTGCTGCCCTTTGGACTATTTCCACGCAACAACAGATCTGTGCATCATAAAAGCCAACCTCTGCAAAAAAGACTGAAAGGAATGGTATTACTTAAGTGAAAGGAAAATGAGGAGGAAAACAGGTTTTAAAGCATAACATAAAAGAAATCCCTATTCCATGCCCTTGGTACATTGAAGAAGCAGTAAGGAGCTTAAACTGAAGCAAGAGTTCAAGAAAGACACAAAGGGAATGGGGAGGCAGCCTTCCAGCAGCAGGGATAATACCAGAAAGGATTTGTCTGGGTTGTTGTAGAGACTGTTATTGGAGATCTTTCAGAACACATGTGGGATGCATCCACTAGAACCAATGTTAGCACAGGTGATTCTGCCTTGCAGCAGGAAAATGGACTGAGCAATCTTTTTAGAAAGGTGGAAAAGATGTGAGACATTATGTAAATTGTAACTCATGTGTGTAAATTGTAATATTGTGTCACTTGATGAAACAGATGACACAATTAAAAAAAAGGTATCTGTCACTCTGGAGAAGAAATACATAAAAATTAATTGATTTCCAACCAGCAAAAGCTGAAGAAGAGGCGGGAGGAGCTACACACACTTCTTAAACCAACATTAAGCTCAAACAAAACAAAACAAGAGACTGCAAAGTCAAAGGGAGAGAGTTCAAGATTAAAATTGGGGGGAGGGGGGAGGGAAGGGTAAAGCCAGAGAAAGTTGACCAATACAATGACAAAATTAATTAATAATAATAAAAAAAAAGTACAAGGTGATAAACCAGACTAAAAGACAGGACAAATCAAAGTGTAAGAGCACAGTAAAGCCATCAGTTGGAAAGAAAAGGTAATTTAGTGGTTAAAGCATTTGTCTAGGATTTAAAAGACCTGGGTTTAATTCTGTATTCAGGCTTCCCAACTTCCTGAACAAGCTACCTAACCACTCATGGCCTCAGTTCCTCCTCGTAAAACCACTGGTGCACAGCAGCTTGCTGTGATAGGAGACAATATTTCAGATGTGCATATGTCTACCAAAAATAAAGAACGTGGGAATTTAAATCTTGTTTATGCAAGACCTATTCTTAATTTTTTTCATTAATAGTTACAGATGTTGCTCATTTCATATAGAAGACCACTGAAGAGACAAGCTAAAACACTAGAATCTGAGACTAATAATTAATGTACTAATTTCTCAAAACATGCATAGTTAGATAAATCCTGTGCACTCCTTTCTATACATCACATATGAGCATCTTATGCACAACTAACTATATAAATGAAGTATTAAAAGAAGGAATCATCCAAATCAAAAAGACATATAACCCGGTAATGAATTCTTGAATAAAACAGGTGCATTTTTTCTGCAGTATAAGCTAGCAGGTGAAAATACATGGCAAACTTATTTTAATAGATTCATTTAGTGTCTCTGTTACAACCTTGGCTCAACCATACAAGTCCAACCACATGTATTGCAACACTACAGCCCCATTTTGTCTGGTGTTGGCCGTCCAGTTTCAGGAGTTGCCACCCCCTATGCTAGCCTGTTACTGCCTCATTCTTTCCTACTGACGTTAGGAGCAGGACTGAGGAATGCTTTGACTAGGAGATGATGATTTTCAGGTCTCTATAGTTGATTCTCATTAAGGAAAACTTAAAATCCCCTTGGCAGCTCTGGAGCTCTCTGGAGTTGTCAGTGCAACAAGACATACAACAAACATTAGGTGAGCAAGGATTTAACTGACTCTCTACGTACACCGACATTCTCACATGCACTGCAATTTTGGTCACTGAAATCGCCCAGTACTGCGATCCAACACAACTCAAACAACAACCAAACTTAGTTGGGCACTTAATGCCTGTATTTAAATATCCTCCCTTTTACTAGCTGGGATTGGAAAGCTTCCTCCCCCTCCCTCTTTTGCCCCAACTGCATAACAGCATCCTCCTCCAAAAGAGAGGAAAGAGACCCAACAAGAGAACCTTTTCTCACATCGGGCTACATCGCCTGCTGATGAAAACTCCCCTGGTTTCCTCACTACAGCTGGGATCTGCTGCACCCTCAGCTTTTCCACAGCAGTCAGTAATGCAGAAGATCCCTTCTCATCGGTCTGCAACCCCAGCTTCTAAATTAAATACATTAAAAAAAAATTAAATGTATAAAAATCATCAGCCGTTGAAAACTTTGGCAGGACTGGGATGATTAAGTACTTCATTTTGCACTGAAAACTCTGAGCTTTTAAACACAGGAAGTTTTTTTAGAAGCTACAGAGAAATGACAGTTACACATACAACTAGCATTGAACAAGGAGACAGAAACAAAACATACTGTAAGAATTTACATTTTACCATGTTAAAAGCAGTTTGCACAATAGAACTGAGTGGCATTTTGGGGAGCAACTACAAGAGAAGCTCTTGTGTCCACCTCAGACGAAGGATTACTTGGAAAAGTATGTTTGGTCCACAGCAGTGAGATGATGGGCCCTCAGCTGCCCTGTCTGAATGGTCAGGGATGTCCTACAGGACAGCAGCATGTTCACTGATGCAGGCTTCATTCACCCAGAGGTTTCTGGACTAGCCCAAGGAGTGAATTAATCTAATATATTGGTTAAAACACTTGTACAAGTATCCCTCATGGGAGGATAAATGTGCTTCTCTTTCACTTCGTGTAATTTGGGAAAATGTTTAAGCTAACAAAAAAAAGCCACTCATCACTGGGGAGGAGAAAAAAATAAAAAAAAAGCCTCCACGTGGGGCTTAGAGGACGACTAGTAAAAACTTTCCCCTGCAGACAAGGCCACAGTTATTTCCTCAGCTAAGAGCTCGGAATTTGGCCCTTGAACTTAACCACTGCCCATATTTGTTTAGGCACAAGCGGTCTCTCATGGCCTCAGTTTGCTCCCAGTGATGATGACAAACCCCACCTTCATTAAAGAGGAAACGGGGTTGGATTTATGGGCGATATTAAAGGCCACCAAGAATTCAAAAGTGTCTCCTTAGATTGCCTGAGAAAGTCTCAAGTCACAAACCAGTCCTGCGTACCAAGAGCTGTAATGCCTTCTGCCTTGCCAGTTGGCCTGAAGTACAAACAGGCAGGACATTTTTGTAAAAGCAGTTGAACACATTTTTCTTCAGAAGGTTTCTGTTGAACCCTGTACTACTTTCTACTTAAAAATGAAAAGATTCTCAGACTAGACTGTGCTGTTTGACTCTGAAAGACCAAATGGGCATCCTCACAGCAGGTGTGTTGTTACATATCAAAGGCATACACATCATGAGACTATTCAGTCTTTTTTCTTCTAATATCACAGAATAATAGCAAGCAAAACCTTTTTGTTTACATCTGTATTAATGTTGACGTGAATTGCTGGCCCATAACCATAATATACTAATTGCAACAAGTATGATTTAATCACACCCTGTTTAAGCGAGTAGCAAAATGCCTCTTTTCCTCAGAGGATGAGAAATTAAATGCTATCCCAAGGAAAGCAAAACGTCTAGCAAAAGAGCATACACTTCATCATTCCCTTCATAAAGTGAGCAGGCCTTTAAACTAGAAGGAACATTACTATATCTTTGGCTTACATTGGTAATCTGTGCTATTTATGGAACACCTGCAAAATGTGGCTATTCTAAGTTTATACTTTTCTTCCGCCTAATACTAGCCAAAGGGAAGAATACTTAAAATGTGACGTTATAACAATTTCACGAAAAAATGGAAGTATTTTTGCTTTTATTATGGGGACACACACAGAAGCTTACAGGGGGTCCTTCAACATGGAAAAGTCAATTAAAATAATTAATTCAAACAAATCCTAAAACAACTACTATCAAGTTCTGAAGGAATTTTCATAACCATTTAAGAAGATTACCACAACTTACAGTAGTTTTGTCTTAGACAAACACTGCACTGCAAGCTAAACTTAATATAAAAATATATACAAATTTATTAAATAGAATCTAATACACTATAAACAATTATGAAAGTGTTATTACAAAGGTAAACAAAAGCCTGCATTAATATTTCAAGTAGCTGTATAGAATTTCTTCATGTAACATTCAAATTGTGTCACACTGATCACAAAATGGACACAGTAGAACAGGTTTTCCTCAATCCTCATACTTCTATTTAAACATCAAATTATCTTTTTTCCTTCAAACAAGGAACTGCTAGTATGAGTTTCAGTTGGAAAGTGGGCTACCAAAACCACTAGATCTTGCTGAAGAGACTGGGGACCCCACACCATTTTTGTCCAAGCATTTGTTGCAGCATCTTCCTATGTTTTAATCTGGTGATACCTTGTGTTGTGTGACAGCAGAATTTGATTTGTCAGAGTTGAGGAATAAAGTATGTTCTGGGTTTGTTATCAGGGGGCCTCTCCTGTACGCTTTAGTGCTGCTTCTTGTGCTGACAATCTTGCCGTTGCCCTTAGAAATGCCTCCCCCAGAAACAACAATTTCATCCTCAGGGGAAAGGGACCTGATGTGGGGAAACTCTTCACAGTACGCAGCCTGTGCTTGCCCACTAGTACCGGCTTTTTGCTCAGGACACACGAGAGGCCTCTTGCTACAATCCAGATGCAGGCTTCCGTTCACAGAGCTCCATTCACTGCAGTTTCCTTCATCTCTTTCTGGAGTTTCTTGACAATCAGATTCCCAAGTTCTTTTAGATTTAGTTTTCCATTTTCCACATGACTGGATACATTTATCCGTGTTCATGACCATTCTTTCGCTCTTGGTTTTAAGCAGATGATGAGCTGGCCCAGAGGTGGCACAGCCATTTGTAAAGCCGGGTGCCTGCGTATTTTCTGGAGTTACTCGAAAAGCAGATGGAGGGGCATTCTGACATGCTATATTACTCGCAGCACACAGGAATCCTTTGTCTACACTTACTCCATCTTCATAAAACTCTGGCAGAATATCTCTTGAAGCGCTATCCAGATTTTTAGAATTATTCTCATCCTGAATATTTGAAGTCACTGTTTCATGAAGTATCTGTTGAGGTTCGGTCTGCATTGCATCAAACTGCAAACGTTTCTGGACAACTTGATCATTGGCTTTTTTGGTAATGCTTTCACCACATGATTTGCTTTCCATATGGTTCGACCTAGTCTGAAGAATGCGATCCCTTTTTGAGTACTCAGCTCCAAGTGGCAGATCAGAATTTAATAGCAGAGCTAAGAGAGGAGGGAAGGAAATAGAGTAATAGGAGGAAATGTTAATGCTGGAGGCAAAACCTACGTTCTTTGTTTTGTTTTTTTTTTTGTAATAAAGAATTATAAGCATTGTCAAAATAAGCAGCTTATACTTACATTTCCATTAGCAAGCCTATAAATAAATCGTACTTCACTTTCTATCTGCATTTTCATTTCTACATTAAATCAGTATGATCAAGGTGTGAATGACTAGAGAATCCAACATACCTGCGCAGGTAGATTTGCTTTGAGGAATGTGTTGAAGAGGTGTTTCAAGTGCTTTAGCCATTGCAACAAGCTTACTGGCAGCATTCATTATTTTCTTCTCAGCTCTGCCAAGAATTGCAGAACATAAAAGCAAATAAAAATATTAAAGTTTAAGGGTAATTCCCTTTCAACTCTGCATTTTACTGCAAGGCAAAGTTAGCAAGAATCAAACAATACCGAAGAGACAGTATGCCAGGCTGCTCAGCAGTGATCCACGCCAATTTGAGCTGGCTGGCAAGATTTCAGGTCAGACACTGTTTGCTCCAAGGTGGGCAAACACCAAACTTCTACATACCTCCTTCAAAACCAAGAGTAATTTCCAAACATATTTGAACTTACCCTTCATGTTTCCCATTATCAGTAAGAAGTTGTTGAAGGCACATCAAACAGTATTTGCGCATTTTCCGTGCTGTTTCTTGGCGCTCTCTTAAAACCTCTGTTTTAATCATTACAGCAGCTCGCTCCTTACTTTCACGGATGTAACAAACCATATCACCTACGAAAAGACTTCATTAAATACCAGGTTTTCCCCAGAGGTGAGAAGAGAGGGAGGAAAAGCTAACACCACAAACTGGGACCGTCTAGCAGGCCTGGAGCAAGCCAGCAAGGGCCTGGATTTACCTGCCAACATTCCACCCAAATCCTCGCGCCAAGTGTTGTCACCTGAATAAACGTTAGTGAAGACCAGAGCAGGTCAATATGAAGCATCAGACAGTTCAGTTGTCCAGTTCTGCATCTTCAGCAGCAATAGAAAACACTGGGCACAGGAATCTGGGAGGAATGTTGCTGGTAAAATGCGAGTCTAGGAATTCTTTGGTGGCAGTGCAGCTGGCATGTGGGGACCTGATGCACTCAAGTAAGACTGAGTGCTACACTTCACTCTCCCCAGCCAGAAGGTTGCCAATTAAGCCAGAAGGTAGCCAATTAAGCCAGAAGGTAGAATACAGCACAAGAGAAAAGCAGATTCTCCCTTGGGACCAGTTGCAGGGTAGGCGAATTCTTTGCTGGAGATAAAGTACCAGTTCTCAAAATACATTTTACCACCATAAAAGACATAATACAGTGCAGCAAAGCAAGGATGGCATAACAAGGCTTCACCCATCACAATCAATCTTGTCTAAGACTATTGTGACAATTCCATTTACCACATTCATGCTAGTAAGAAGGAAAAATTTACTTCTCAGGCAATTTGGCTGTCAGATTCCTGTGCAAGCTGGCTGAAGAAGGAGAAAGTGACAAAATAAATTATTTTGCTCTCTTTTTAGTTAAGACTTTAGTACTTACACTTAATCTTGTTCACAGCTTTAATGTACTGAGCACGCATTTCTTCCAGTCCTTTCACACAGTCACAGGATGTACAAAGTTTTGAGACGCGTCCCTTTGATAGTGACCTGAAATGCACATAAGTCATATTGCACAAGAAAAGTAGCTTATATCTTACGAAACAATTCAACTTGTTTAGATTTTTTTTTTTAAATACCCTGGTGGTGTCTCCAAGTCTTTCAGTTTAGTCTTCATCTCAGAGTTTTCTGCAATTGGAGCTTCTAGAAACTTCTCATTTTCTATTAAAAATAAAATAAAATTTAAAAATTACCATAATTCACTGCACTTCTCTAAACTCAAGGTGAGTTCAACAGAATTTATTACAGAAACTGCTTTCTCTGGTATAAAAGCTCAATGTCATGAAGCACTACCAGCAAATGTACAGCTGCTGCAGTAACAAGCATATAGGAATCAATCACAACACACTTCAACAAAGCCTGGTTAAAAAAAAGTCGCCTCATACAGTAAATAATAAGCTTAAAGCATTTATTTGCCATTACTAACACTATACTGCAGGTAAAGCACCAAAGATACCAGGTGTACACATAGAGAAAGGATGGGGAAAAAATAACAAAAGTTGTTTTGACAAACATTGGAAAATAATTATTAATTTGTGGATTAGCAATTGTGCATTCTTTGAGGTCAAGCAACTTGGTTGCTGTTGGGGTTTTTTTGGGTTGTTTTATTTAATAACCAGAAGTCACTATTACGAAGGAAGGCTGGACTTCTGTGCTGAAGTCTGCTCAGTGCTACTAAGAAGCATATAAATATTATAATGAGCCACCAGAGAGAATGAGAAGATAGTGGAGTTGTAAAAGCCTGAAGCACAGGACTTGAAGCTGATACTCAAGACCGCTGATCGTGGCATACAGACAGTCCTCCCATGGGTAATCTCATGAAAGTTAAAGAATCTTAAAATCTATTTATTTGCTACATAATCTAATCTAAGCAAATGATTATTTTTTTAAAAAGGGTACAGGTATTTACCATAACTTGAAGAATTGACAGATAAACTTGGACAGACTCATAAAAATCAACATTTGATTACTAGGCTTCCTGTTTTAGGAAAGAAAACCAACCTGAACACCTATGCTGAATGCAGCAGATACCTCCACCATACTCAGCCACAGAATTTCTCACATGAACCATGGCTTAAGAAAACAAGGACTGTCACTGCACAACAGAGGGAATGTCTTATTAGAGACAAGTCTTCCTGCTGGAAGAAGCAAGGTTTTCATTGGTACAATATGAGGACCTGAGTCCTAGGGAAGACATGGACAAGTTCAGCTTTCTTCCTTCTCTGGGATGATGTGCAGTCAAGAATCGTATCTGTGACGATCTTGGTGACAGCAGTAGCCTCCATTTTCATTAACATGTCTCCTATTATCCTTCAATCTTTTCTCCAGCCCCCAAGGAAGTTTACACACTATTTGCTTGTCAACAAAAGAGCACAGAAATATTGTTACACAAATCTGTGCAACTTATACATCTGCAAGCTGGCAATAAAAACATACAACATTTTATTTTTCCTTACTGAGCACAAAATTTACTACAGCACGCAGCTGAGGAAAAAACCCACCCCACACAAACTACAGCCTTTGTAGCAGTACAACCTACTACCTCACAACTGCTCTCTCCAAGGTGACCACTTGCCAAACCTGCTTACAGTGGCCAGAGCAACCTTAAACTGAGGCACGTTCAAACAATTCTACAGAATTACTGACCCTCAAGATGCAGTCTGAGAACTCTCCTGAATCAGAACCTTCAGCAAGTCCATTTCCTGCCATGCTCTAACAAGACCCTAAGAAAAAAAATAAAATTCCCTGAACACTATTGTGTACAGCTTCAACTGATTAAAACACTGCAGGGAGAACGATCCTCTTATTCAAATACCAACATGTTTTCCTTTAGAGAAAACATTATTCTGCTCCTTAAAACAAAGGCCTCTACTGACTCCATCACAGCTGGCTAAGAGAATAGAGCTCCTCAGATACCAGCAGAACGGGAACTGTGCATTACGCTCAAGTAGAAAACAAAAAGTTCTTGAGTACAGGAACAAAGCAAAGCAGACATTTCTCCCACAAATCTGTCAGAAACCAACCTAGACAAAAGGAATTCATGTTGCTGTGAGGGGCACATGAATCAATATGACTTCCTCCAAGCAAAAAGCCAACAAGTCAGCCCTATAGAAGAGACCCCACCACAGGAGTTGTTACAGGTACAGCAAAGGCTTTGATATACCACAGACTTTTCATCCGCATTAGTTCAGATTTTACTATGGCCAGAGACTTCTACCAAGTTAATAAAATAATAAAGGATGGAGTCTGAAAGGATGCCAGATGTACATGATGCAACAGCATCCACAGTAAGCACAGGTATCAATATTAAGTCAGATAACAGGGCAATTGACTAAACTGACGGTCAAGTTTCAGGGAGGTTTTACCACCAGACACTGTAAGTCTGTTCACAGAAAGTGATATAGAGAATACCAAAAATAAGATGTTGGACAGCAAAAAGAAGGCAACCACCACAAAACAGCCAGTGGGTTAAGTACTGAACAAGAATACTGGGTAATACCGCAACTCAATCGGAAGCAGTCTCTACCTACAATGGAGGAATCTCAAACAAGTTACTTTGCATCATCCTTTTTTTCATCAGGAAGAGTGTTAGAAAAGCTTTATTTCCATGCTACAGGCAGAAGCCTTACTTTCAGTGACTTTTCCAAAAATATAGTGGATATTTCATACCCATCATTTGTAGAGATAGCTGTCACATGAGAAAAAAAATTAAGAACTAGAGACCTTTGCTCAGTCATCTGTCCTGTATTTCTCATTTCAAAGTGACAAAAAGGAAAAAGAACATCTTAATTTAAAAGGCAAAGAGACTAAATAAAAACCTACTTAAAATTTACTTTAAGGTTTACCAAAAAAAGAGAGACAATAAATAGAACTACAGATCCAAGCTAGTATTAACTGCAGGAAGGTACAAAAAATCCTGTGGTCAGTAGCTTACTACTGCTGGGGCTAAGAAGAACCAAGTAACATTTAGGGCCACTCTGATCTTTGTATTCGCACTCTGAGGGGATGAGTATGGGCACAGCAGGAGTACAGCCCCGAGGAGACAGCTGAAGGACTCCCTGGCTGATGCACATTTATATGTGTGTATGTGCACATGCATACATTATCTGTATAACCCTCATGGGCAACAGGACCCACACATACCTGTACTCTAAGAACATCTGCCATGTGTCCAGTTTGCCTCTATTGTTTTCCTGACACACATGAAAGAGTACCAAAGTGATAAGTAATGTTTAAAGGAAGGGAGAGTAAGTTTGTGGCTTTTTGTTGTGGGGGGAATGGTTTGTTGTTTTTTTTTTTAAAGTATATGCACACACCTGTTCCAGCCACTGAAAACTAAATGATGCAACAGATGAGACACATGGACCCATAGACATTAAAGTTTTCTTTAGGTGATTAACAATCCTAACCCTGCATTTGCTCTGACTTAGCCCACAGACATCCTTAGCTTGCTATGAAGGAACATGAAGCTACCTCCAGCTCTCTTTTAAAGTCCTGGCACACAGCCTCTGTTTTTTCAAGCTCCTGGCAGTAGCGTTCACAGCAAAAATCATCCCAAGACCCCAAGTTCCTTCTTGTGTATTTCTGACCTGCAACAGTAATTGCTAAAAGTCACACATCAACCCTGGGTCCAAAAAAAGAATCAAGCCCAACCCTGCTGTGTCCAGTGCTCTATTTAATCTTCCTCTTGCTGGAAAACATAACATATCAGTATAATTAAAATTATCATGAGAGGCTGGAACCCTGTTACAGAAGGTGCAGCAGCATTTATCAAGTCATTCAGCCTTCACAGACTCAATGCATTCCCATCAGTGATGATTCTGAGTCTTCAGTCAGTGATATGAGACTTGTAGGTTGAATTTTTTTATTGCTAAAAAGATAGAAAACAGCCAAGCAGGATCTTTGGAGTCTGCTGAAGGAGATTCTCCCAGCTGGGAAGCTTCACATGTGGCTAAGTTAAGAAACTCACAAAGACTGGGCTACTTCCAGAACAGCCATGTCTGCTCTCTATAGCCAGGACAGGGAGCTCTAGAGACAGAAGAGCTGCACTACTTGTATTGTTTTGCATTTAATAGATGTTTTGTTATTTTGGCATTGAGGGAATTCAAGCTGCACTACAGGCATAAAGCCAAAGACTCTCGGGTTTTCTTGCTCTATGTTTTTCTGTTGCATAAGAACTCCAACTGAAAAGAAAGTCCCAGAGAGACTTCTGTGCCTCCCCTTAAGTTTTTCCCCTGCTACACTGTCTCCAGCTTTGCCATAGTACATGTGACCGCCTTGGGCAGAGCTACAATGTTAAAGTAGATAGTGGGGACAGAGGGAAAGAAGGAGGAAAACCAAAACAAAGCTAGAAGAGGTAAACATCACTCAGGGATTTGCATTTTTTCAACTGCATTCTTGATCAAAACAAACTGAAGTACAATTCTTGACACAATGTATCTTTTACATGAATGCAGAAATCCTTGTCTTTTCTAATGTCAAGAGCAAGTAGTACAATCTGATCTTCAAAGCTCTGATTTAGTATTACGCATTTACAAGGCAGTTTAGAGCACATTTGGCCCATCATGGTCAACACTGACTTGCTTATAAGCTGTTAAACATCAAAAGTATGAGTGTTCATGCCCACAACCCCAAAGAGTATTTACACGTGCAGCATATATAGAAGCTCTTTCTTTACTCAAGAATTGCTTTAAAAAGCAGAAAGCTACTTGCATTTAAGAAAATTAAACCTCAAAGGCTAGCACTAAATCAGGAAGCTAGAGACCAGTACCATTTGTTACACAGTTTGTGACTTGGACACAGCACAAGCTAATGCAACACTAAACAACCTTACAGCCAGAACTAGGTCTTCTCTCACCCAAGTATTTACTAGTTAACTAATGCAGTAGAGTCATCAATAAGACATCAACTATTAAAGACTTCTACTAATAAGCTTAATTTGATGATATACAATTTACCAGATTAAAAACAAATCAAATACCTGTGCCTGTTCCAGTTTCCTGTAAGGGTGGCCGTTTCCCTAGCCTCCTTTGTGCTTCTGCTTGGTGTCCAACATTGTTCACAGGGGATCTTGCCATCTCCCCAGTTTCTCTTTCACCACATTGCAGGCAAGGGTATGCCTCTTTATTTATGTTATTCACTTCCTCTTCATATTTCTGCAATTGAAATATACTTACTGAAAATCCAACACATAGCAAAACACAACCAAACCAAACCAAAACCATGTTCCACACAATCTTAAAATAGGTAAGTGGTATGCTATGCATAAAAGAAGCAACCCTGGCCACCAAAGATAGCTTTATTAATTGTAACACTGGCTTTAAATCTGCAATAGAACTGTAGATTGCAGCTCAAATTATGAGGAAAATGTATATTCTAGCATACAAATGTTTTACTCGGCACAATTCACTCCAACAGCAGTACCTGGCTATCTTGAGTTTTACTTTGGAAATGTCAGTAGCTCTTAACATTGCAGAATCATAGAGTGTCTTTGAATAGTTGAAGCTAACTTGTTTTTTTAAAAACCTATCCAGCAAGAATTTAGAGTTTCTGCACAAATATAGGTAGTAGAGGAACAGGAGGGTCATCTAGAAAAAAAAGGAACTCCTTTGTTCATTGTTATTGTAGTAGCATAAGAGAAGATACTATTAAAGAAATTACAGACTTCACTGGATGAGGTGGCTCAAGCCAACCAACATTTTGAAGTTCAAAGGCACATTAAAAACAGTTTACCAAAAGACATACATATAAATTACAGAAGACACATCAGACATAGGGAAAAAAACCTTCCAATTCTTTTTAGCATCACGAAAATCACAGAATCATAGAATCACATCAGCTGGAAGAGACCTAGAGGATCATCGAGTCCAGCCTTTGTCCCAGCCCTATCAACCCCCAATGCAGTAAAAATAACTCATAACAAAAAAACTTTAAAGGATCACTTTCTGAATAGAAACATATTACCACTAAAAAAAATGGGTAATATTGTAATGAGAAACCAGTTCATACTCATTTTCCCCCAGCCCGCCTTTTCTTGAAAAACAAGCCAGTTCCTCTCTCTGTCCTATTCTTGGATTATTCCCCAGCTGCTACATGCTGGGTGGTTGAGCATTTCCGGTAGGATGCTCCCCATAATCAAAAACTTACTATGAGTGTAAGCATTGGAAAAAGAGGAATCTGCCAAAACAACGGCAACAGTAGCATTTGGACAGAATTCTACTTAGTCCCAAACTCCTCTAGAAGAGTGTAGGATGTCTTTCCTCCTTTGAGCAGGCATATTGAAAAGGATCTCCTAGAGGCACAATAAGTTAAGCAAGACTGTCAGACTCGAGATAGATCAGAGCGTCAGTTATTCAGTTCTATGGTGGATAATTCACAAAAATGATTTACTGTTTTTATCTTGTTGCTTAGATGTGGTGTTGGGTGATATGGTTTAGGGGTGACCTTGTAGTGTAGGGTCAATGGTTGGACTCAATGATCCCAAGGGTCTTTTCCAACCTGAATTGTTCTGTGATTCTATGATCTTTATCTGTATCAGAAACAGGGGGGAAAATGAAAGAAAAAGAGTAATGCGACTCACAATCCCTATCCTAATTTGACTTTCTCCTCTGTAAAGACCGAAGGTTTTAAAGCCACATCTATCCTTTCCCTTTTCACTTGCTAACAGTGGATTTTGCCCTCCTTCACAGTTTTAAAGGACTTATCTATAAACTCAAATGTTGGATTCTCCTATTGTCAGGATTACATAGATATTTTATACTAGGAGAAAATAGGTACAAGTCCAACTTCTCAAATTCCTTTACTGCACGGCAGTTATTATTTACAGAAATATTACCTCTTTCCATTCTCGCTCTTTCTTTTCCAAAATTGTAAAAACTGTGGTTCTGTAAGCCCGTTGTAAGCAAGCCTTCATCTTGTCTTTGCATTGACTGTTTAACTGAACATGAGCATCAAAACATTCATCCTTCCAAGAATTCTTATTCTGCGTGCACTTGACTAGTTCTTCATGGATTTCACTCAACAAGTACTCAAGATCAACTAGAATCTTCTCCTCATACCGACTAATTTCTCCCTGCACTCTCTTTGTTTCCTGAGCCTCCCATTCTCGCTGCTTTTGGTCTAGTAAAATCTTTATTTCTGCATCTTTCTGAATGGAGAGATAATTCTTCTGCTTTGCAAGATCCTCCTTTGCTGTTGCAAGTACCTCTTTAATTCTGTTTCTATGATCGTCTAAGAATGATCGGTAGTCTCTCTCATTTTGCTCTCGTATCTGCAGGATTTCTTCTTGCTTTTCTTTGTTCCACTGAGCACGGGCTTTTGCTAATTCTGCTTTGATAGCTGCAGGGATTTCTTCTTTCTTTAGCTCCAATTCCTTCTGGAGAGAAATTACCTTTTCTTCAAGTTCTTTCATTCTTGGTCCAGATTTCTCTGTATTCTCGTGTGCTTTCTTCCATTTCTCTTCAGCAGCGGAGAGAACTTGGGCTAACTGGTGGATATATAACACAGTCATTATAAATACATACATATATTTATATAATAAAATATAACACTGGGTCATTAACAATCTATTAGAGATGACTTTCAAATTATTTCATAAAAATATATAATCCTACATAGGCTAAAAAAATTAACCAGATCAGAATACACTACAAATATGCTTCCTTAAGGATTTCCCAACTATGTCTATATTCATTTCCCAGTAATATATGGGATCTGGAAGTCTGAACTGTTAATCAATACACATATAGAAGTATTTTGGGCTACCTGCTTTGCTGCAGTCTCTTTGTGCTCTTTTTCCCATTTTTCTTGTTCTGTCTTTAGATTTACTTTGTACTCTTTGAGGTCTGTTAACTCTTGCAGCCATTTGGCACGAGCTTGGGTTAAAGCTGCATCTACCTACAGGTGGATAAAAAAATCCCTTTCAGTCATCACCACCAAATACATTTTTATTCCAACTTTCATGCATCAATGAAAGAACAGACTTCAGTCTGGATTGCCCATGTTTACAGAAATTAAAAGAATCAGACCAGCAGCACTCTATGTATTTCTTGATGCAAAAATGATACCAAAACAATGAATTTTTTTCTTAACAAAATTATAAAAACTCTACATCAGTGTTGCTCAGTTCTGTTCAAAACTGCTGCAAAACTTATCCAACTGTGTGGGAAAACTAACAGCTAGAAAAAACAAGCTACATGCTACAGCTTCCTCAGACTTTTTTAGAAACTATTTCTAACACAGCAAATATCAACTACTGAGCTTAAAAGAAAGTTAGTGGAAGAGACCACTTTATTTTTTTTTTTTTTAAGTTGCATATGGCAGTTTCACAGGCTCCAGGCAGACAGAACAATTATTTGTTACCTGGCTGGCAAGATTTTTACGGTATTTATTTTCCAGTTCTATTTCAAATTCTTTTAAGGCCTCTTCAGAAGCCATGTTTTCTTTCAGAGCCTTCTGGATCTGCAGCCTCTGGTCTTCAACAATCCCTTCTAACTCTTTAGTTGAAACTTCATCCACAACTGTTACTCGGTCAGTTTGGGTGCTGCGGTCATTATATTCAACTACAGTTCTTCTCATTTCATCCAACCTACTTTGCCATTCTCTTTCTATTTTTGCAAAGACTTGTTCTTTTTTCTAAGGAAAAAAATAGTTTTTAAGAAAATCTCCCCAGTACCCAAATGACTAGACTCTGTTTACATCAATATTCTTCCCTGACAGAAGAGCAAAACCATGCTCAGAGAGAAGATAGTCTTACAACTCATCACAGCTTTCTTCTATGATGTAAGATATGCAAAGGACTTTTCCATGATAACTGAGGGAATCAAGAGAAAGCACAGCCACTCACCCAGGGAACAGGGTGGAAAACTCCAGCATATTACCAGCTGTGACATTCAGGACATCCTGCATGTTACTTTACAAAGTCTAGGGTGTCAGGATTTTTTTCCCCCAAAATCTTAAGCATGAGTGGTAACTATTGACTTCTTCAGAGGTTCCTAAAAGGACAGATCCTTAAAAGCTACTTCAAGTGGCAGAAAAACAGTGTATAAGTCTACCTACATATAAGTTCTCCTAAAAACAAACAAACCACCACCAACAAAACAATTTGAAAACCCTCTGTGTAAGTTCCACACCTCTTTTTCTTCCTTCTCCCAGTGAACTTTGGCTAATGCAACTTCCTTTTCAACTTGCTGGTTTTTTTCCTCCAGCCACTGCTTCTGTGCTGCTGTCATAGATCTGGTGTGTTTCTCTTCAAGCTCAGTCCTCAGAAGGTTAAGACTGTCTTGTTTTTCTTCTAGCAGCTGTTTCTTGAGCTAGGCAAAAAAACAAATAAAAACTAAACAAACCCCTAAAAGTATTCTCCAAGGCATAGGAAACAAAGTGATGGTATAAAGTGATGAGAATGCATGACTAACTATAGGGTCTGAGCACTGATCTTAATGACATCTGGAGAAGAGGTTCAGCTCTCAAAAGGAGGTGTTGTAAGGCATGATATCAGTGATTATAAACTATTGCTCTAAAATAAGTTTTATTATCAAGTATCTTTATTCCTAGCATACTTTGAACTGCATTTGTTTAGCAAGACAGTTGACCTAGTTTAGTCATTTCACACTGATACTTTCAGAAAAGTAAGGCTTTTAATTAATATAACAGTCTGAATTCATTATTACTTCAAAGCCCACAACATTTTCAGATCAGTTTTATATAGGGAGAAATCTTGGTTTGCCACTCAGTTTTTTTGGAAAATGTCTCATGCATGTAAAACCTCACACTGCTGAAAAGTGAAAACTATGAAAGCTGACTTAAACCCCAGGACACAACAGCAGCCTAACTTAAACCAATAGGTCATATGTATCAACTTTCTGACATCGCTGAATCTCTTCAAAGTATCTTCCAGCTGAAGCTGTACAGTTTACAGGTATTCCCATTAGTACCTTCTCTTCCTTCAGCTGCTGCTCTCGCTCAAATTTCTTCCTTAAAGTAGCTTCCAAGGTGTCCTTCTCCCCACAGACTCCAATGTAACACTCCTTCACTGCAGTCATCTCTTTGTTCAGCTCCTCTATGTCAGCCCTTCACATGACAGATTATTTGCTACCAATTAGTCTTTACACTCACAGGATAGCAAGTCTGTTTTTAAGAAAGTAACTAGCACTGAGTGCCAAACAGGAAATGCGAAAGTTTCAGTAAAAGTGGAAGGAACAGCAAGCCTTACTTTAACTCCGAGATTGTCTCTTCGTAAGTTTCAATAAGCTGCTGTTTTTCTGCAGCACACCTCTCCATCAGGGCTTTCTCAAAATGTGCTTTTGTGTCCTCATGATGTTGTTGATAGATTCTTTCACACCTACAATTTCAAGAAAGGAAAACGCTAGGTTTTACTTGCCCCCTTTTAAACAGGGTTCAACTTTTCCTTAAGAAATCAGCTTTCTAATGCTGACTTCCCCTTGTATCAGACAACTGGAACAAGATTATACATGTAGGCTAAAAGCTCATAGATAGAACAGAGTTAACAGACTTACTGGTCAATGGCTTCTTGTTTATCCTGATCAAAATTCTGAACCATCTTTCTCATCTGACGACAGAGATCTTGATTTAAGATTTTCAGTTTTTCCTCACTTTCCTTCAGTTCTTCAATAGTTGAAGCATGGTTCTGGATGAACAAAATTCAGGTAATGGGGGGCTGTAAAGAACGTTTTCTAATTGCAGGTTTTAGCACAAAGGGGTCTTTTGTGGTACTTTTTTTGTAGGGACAAGCAGCACCTCTCTCACCTCCACTTCTTGCAGCAAAGTTTCATTAGCCTTTCTGAGTCTCAGAACTTCTTCCTTAAGATTATCAGAAACCGAAGGACTTGCCACCAACTTATCATTCATGTTTGTGAAAGGCTAGAAACAAAAAAAATTAGGATGATACCTTTCAAAATACACATGATTTAGAAGTCGATGCTTTAAAAAAAAAAAGATTTAAGCTGTAGAATAAAAATTTTATGTCGAAAAAATAAGTAAAAAAAACCAAACACAAAAGGAAATTATTGCAGCTTAGTATCACTGTTACTCTAGATAAATTCCTAAAATTCATACCGTCATGAAGGTTTAAAGCACACACTTGATGTTGTGTTTGCAAGTCGAATGACTATCAATCACCAGAGAGCACACTTCTCAAGCATACTGCATTCCTATCCCACATCCAGGTCACAGTATAGATTACAAGAGCAAATGTTACAAGTCTGATCAATTTATAGAGAGAAGTTAATAATGGGCTGAAGAGAGATGCAATCAGATTCCTTGTTGATCAAATTACATAGCAAAGGCTGCCTGAAGACCAATCTGTTTAATGTTCCATTTGTATAACCTAATGATACTATCAGGTTTCTCACAAGAAATTACAAGATATTTTTGGCAAAAGAAAAACTACTTTCTCCAGTCAAAAAAAGCAGAGTGGCCATTAACTGCTATCAAGCAAGTAATGTCATAAGATATTTAAAGGTTGGTTTGGTTCACTAAAATCCAGTGCATCTTTACTTTAAAAAAAGTGTAAAAGAACAAACCTCTGACTCTTTCGATGCTTTTTCTGCTTTCAACAACTCCTTGTGTTCCTCTAATGTCTTCTCGCAGTCTTTCAGATCATTTTGTAATTGAGTAATCTGATTTCTCTTCATTTTATTACTGCTCAATAAACGTTCCAGCTCAGCTTTTAATTTCACAATAATTTCATCTTTAGAGAGCTCTCTATCCATGTCTCTGTTCTGTATTGCACTATTAAGGAAGATATAAGCCATTCAGTATTTAAAAGACAAAAAAACATTTACCTGGAAGGTAGTGGTAGCAAAGAGAAGAGCAACTAATGCTACCAGAAAAGTTTATAAGAGTAAAACGAGTGAGAAAACATGAACACAGAAGCCTTTTTTGGCATATGCAGTTAATGTACAGAAAACTTGTTCATTCAACTGTTCCCCCAAAAGACTCACTCTCACATGATGTGAGGTATTTTGAGACATTCAGTTGTTTTAAAGACAGCTTTAGCATTAAGTACCTAGGTGAAATTTTTGAGCCAAAAGGCATCCATGCATATAATCCATACAATCCAAAAAACACAGTCCCTATGAAACCTGAAGATTTTTTTAAGCAGAAATTAAGCATCCAGTTTATGGCATTAAGTCTTATTTCTTTCCCAGATTATCCTGACATTACAAGCAGCATTTCAAATATCTACCCCAAAATTGAATGTTGATCCTCTGTAATTTCTTGAGGATTCTTGTTGAAGGAAAAATCTAAAAATCACTGAATACCTGCAGAACTTTGGTTTTTTCACAGGGATTTTTTTTATTCCCAAATCTACATAGGAATCACCCATGTTTGCATGCAGCGCTTCACCCGTATCGTTCAAAAATACTCCAAGCTTGGCAGCAGATTCATACAAAGCTATTTCCTCCTTCAGTTCCATTAGTTCCTCCTTAAAGGAAGAGACGGGGAAAAAAAGTTACACTCAGCAGAGCAATGCCAGACAAACACATTAGGCCCATGATAATTCCTCCAAAGAAAATAAATATGTGTAGCTATTCTTTCTAAACATAGTTGAATTTACTTGAATCATCACTACCCATCTATACTATCATCTTTGATACCTCTAGCAAAGCATATAATAAAATTACAAATTAATTAGGGAATATTTTCTCTTGCTCATTGTATTATATTGTTCTTATTACAGTTCATACATCAAGTTAAGAATTATTTCTTTCGCTCTTACTTCTTTATGCTGTCATTGTATAGTAAAACAGACAAGAGAAAACTACACAGCTGGAAAAAGATCCAATTACTCTACTACTTACAAGGCTTCATGGTTTACAAGATGATAGATTTAAATCAAATATATGAACTGAATTGGAAACAGACTTCCACTCATTTTATAGAGGACTCTCTAGCATTCCCTTTTGCTGGCAAAAGCTAAATTCCAGAATATAGTATCTCCAACTACCCCTATAGTCTAATAAGTTACAAGATTCCCAGCACATAGAATTTACACTCTTTTTTTTCCATAAGCAGATTACAGATGTATATCAGATTTATGATGACATATATGCACCATTATGTTTGAATTTAAAAAAAAAAAAAAAGAAAGAGTCAAATTTGCAACAGTGGGAGATGAAGTAGTGGATACTCCTTTATTCAATGTAAACATGCTTGTTTCCTCATACAAATAACAAGAACTCCAACTACCAATCTCTTCACAATAATGCCCTCCCCTCTAAAATCAAAAGAGTAAAATATTTTATAAAAACTAATTAACCTGCAAAGCCTTGTTCATATTATTGCTTATCATATGCGCAGACTGAGCTTGTTGCAACTGAAATCGTAACTGATTTGTCTCCTGCATCGAGCCTATTGCACAAAGAAAAGAGAAAGAAAGAGCAAGTCAAATATGCAAGGAAGACTATGCAATCTGAGAAAAGATCACTGTTAAAAACAGTAGTGTTGATTCTGGTGATAAGCATTACTCACCATGTTTTAGTCCATGGTTTAGTTGTGGGCCTGGCATTGCTGCATCAATGGTTGGACTCAATCTTAAAAGTCTTTTCCCGCCTAAATGATTCTATGGTTCTATTTCCCTGTGCTCACTAATAGCTACTATACACTAAAAGACTTCAACATGTAAAAGTAGGCATAAGTCAAATATAGAAAGGGCAGACTATTTCACATGCTGCTCCTACTGTTACAGTTTCAACAATAAATCTTGTTGTGATTGGATTTTAGAATGGCAATTCAAGTAAAATGCGTAACACAAAAATAAGTAGCTTGCTCACAGAGGCTGGTATTTGGTCCAGAACTAAGTTTACCCATACGCAGCACAAAACGCATAGAAAAACAGTTTAGTCACTGTTGCTTTGGGTTTTGGTGGTTTTTTTTTTTGGTTTGGTTGGGGTTTGGGCAGCAGGGGGGGAATAATTTTATTTGGTTGATTTTTACAGTTCAGTCTAGAGTTAAAGTTCATTTAAGTCTGACTAATGCACTGCATAGGAAACGATCTAGTACACGTTTAGCTTGGTGTTGATTCCATTTCAATAGGAGCATAGATGTGCAATTTCATACTTCAGAACTGAGCCATTTCTGCAAGGAAATATAAGGTATGAGTAGAAGGCTGACCTGTGTGCAGTAAATTTGCACATTGCTTTTGGCTTTCTTCCAGGCTTCTTGTCAGTCGATTTATTATTTCAGTTTTCTCGCATTTGGTTTCTTCCAGCAGTTTTTCAAGTTGCTTAACATGCCTTCCTAGATTTATGCAAAGGTCTTTCTAGGAAGAGAGATTATTTTTTACTCATGTTAGGAACATCTAGCCATCTAGGATAGTTTCAGATATGGAAAAAGTCAATTCACACAAGACATCAATCTGATACCTAAAGGGGTAGTGGCCAGCTAAATCAACCACAGATCAGATGCTGTCCTTGGCTGACACGTCATCTCTTAGAGCACCAAAGTTAAGTTTTCACTAGGAGACAGTAAGTATACTCATATATAAACATTCCTAGATGGGAATTGTTCTTTTTTCACATGATATACAAAGGAGACCTTCATATGGCATGATTTAGTTACCTACACAGAACTGTGAGGCACAGCATCTCATCTTTACACCTTGACTTTTCTATTTTCTCTCAGACAGGAGACCTCAAACATATTACCATAAAATTTTTTTTTCAGCAGAGACAAAGCTGTGTAAGCTTTGTTGTAGTACTGATAGACAGAAATTTAGCAGCCGTTTCCAAGCAAATGCTACCTACCTTTTCAAATATACAATCCATTTACTTCTATGCATATTTATGTTGAGATAAGAATTAGAGATATTTCTTTTTCCTTTAAGTGAAATAAGAGGACAATTTATTAAGACCTGCTTGGTTTACATTGCTTGAATATTTCTAATGGTGTAATGGACTCTCACAACATGTCAGATAGAATAATTTTAATAAGCTCTATAAAACCATGTAATACAATCCATATTAAACTCCATCTTAAAGACAGCCTTTTTCCCTCCTCCTCTCTCCTTTTAAACCTGTACTTCTAAAATAAAGTGACTGTTCAGTGGTCCTCAATCATTTTGAAACTAAAGCTTGGTGACAGACTGTTTATCAGTTTTCTTGCAGTAAAAATATCACATCATTTCTTAATTGGGTCTTTTCTTCCTTGGATTTATTTGCTGGTACTCTTTCAAAAAGAGATTGTGCACAGCGCGAAAGACCAAGAAACTAAGACAATGAATTCTTGCCTCCTCTGCATCTACTATATACACATTCACAATCTGAGCTCACAGCTGCCTGGAGATGTTATAAAAATACACCACACTGGCTTCATAATATTGAGACTCATGCAGAATTTCTTTTCTATTTGCTTAGCAGCTTCCAGAAGAAGTTATCAGAATTATAGGTTAAGAAGTACAGTTTGGGAAAAAAGAGGAGATCTACGGCTTCTTCAGTACAGTACTTGGCATCCTGAAATTTCTCACCTGCTCTTGGAGTGCAGCTTTTGTAGTATCAAGTTGTTGCTCTAACGATAATACTTGCTTTTCATACTTCTGCTTCAGTGCTGAAATAATGGCCTCGTGTTGTTCTCTGGCTCTCTGAAGGGCATCTGATCGCTGAAGTTCTAACAGCTGCTTCTGCATGCCCTCCATGGCTACCTCTGCCAGTTTGGATTGCTTCAACATCTGTAAGAACAGTATTAGAGCAGCTCTCAGTTACATATATTTTACTTTTGTTGCAATATTCTGTATGTCAACTCAGGTTTTTTGTGCAAGAGTTGCTAGAAGACCTCAGATAATGGCTGGATTTTAACACAAATTATTTTCCAGCAATTCACCTTATTCATCATATATTCAGATTCTGTAATGATTGTAAACGTTTCAAGACATGCACTTATGTTTAATGCAAATGCACCCCAAATACAACTCTAGAGATCTCCCAAAACAGAGAGTTTAAAAATATTTATAGTACCTGCTCCTCATTGGCAGTAAGAGTCCGAATTTGAGTTTCAAGTGCCTTTATCTGACCTTCAAGATGCACTTCCCGCTCCTTCCCATCCTGATAGAGCTTTTGAGATTCATGAAGACTAACAGCCAAACCATCCTTTTCATCTTAAAAAAGATGCATAATAATTGTGAGAGACATGGCCCACCAACCAACAACTTCGTGGAACATGACTGGTATCCCTGCTCTACAGAACCATCTGCTACGAGCCCACTGTCTCACACTGTGGGCAACGAGCAGAAAACAGAACCAAAACCTTTCAGCCAGTCTCCATCCAGTAACCATTTTGCCCCTCTGGTGGCTGGCAGCACTCCGATATTTGTGCCTTCAGAACTCTACTGGAGACAAGACCCAGCTGCCAGCACTAGGAACTAGCATCATCCCTTACACCAGATAAAGGGAGAAACAAAGTAATTCCTCTGGCAGAACAGCCAAGAGCAATCAAAATGGTTGACAGTTGAAGTTTTGTCTTTGCTTTGCTCCTTTTGCACTCTTAAAAGTACTTTCTTAATTCTTTAAGATCACAACTTTTTTTGTCTAGTCCCATAAGGGAGACCAAGGCAAACCATCAGTCGCCACTACAGCTTTGATCATTTTAGAAGAGCTCTGTATGACAGCACACGCCCACAAAATCATGTATGTACACTTCTCCTCCTACAGAGGTTTAGTTGTTGGGGATTTTTTTATTTTTTGTATTTTTAACACACTACTTTAGCAAACTTCTCACTTTTTTACATTTTTAACACCTGGCACATGGGAACTCTGGAATAAAATGGTGGTCTTGAGAATGCAGTAAAACTTAAGACAATTATGCAGTCAGGCACCAATCCAAAGAATTTTCTTTAAAACAACAGAGAGAGAAGAGCGTTAGGTCCACATAATCCCAAATCAGTTTTATAAATATGATTAATAACTCTAGAAACACTATCTAAATCAAAGTTTCAGAAAAAAAAGTTGCTAGATATGAATAAAATCTAAGAACTAGCAGAAAACATTTTACCTTTTATCATTGAAAGCTGATGATTCAAATATCTAATCTGCTGTGTGCTCTTTTCTAGCTTTTCATTAAGTTCTTCTAGTTGTCTTTCTCTTGCTTTATTTAGAACTTGAAGTTGAAGAATCTGCACATTTTCTGAAGAATCTGCCAAATTTCAAACAGCATACAGATCAGTCAGCACAGCTTAAGAAAGTCATTGTCATAAGTAATTCCTGCCCCAAGGTACTTCCTTCATACAGTGCCAAATCCACTGTTGGTTCACAAAATTGCATCATTTTTCTAATCCATGTCTGATTCACATCACCTGACTTGCTCCAGCAGCAACGGCTGAAGAACTGTAGGAACTACCAACATAATTCAAACCAGGAAGCCCAGATAAAGGTTTAGGTGCTGTGAATTCACACACAGTCTTGTGACAACTATAAAATTAAGATGAATAACAAGCAAAGCAGTTCTGTCATTTGAAGTACAGAAAAGCGCAATGGGGCACCACGCAAAGTATATTTTCTAAGGCAGAGTAAGTAATTATTTTCCAATATTACAAACAAGACAAAGTGCCAGCAAGACTTGACATGAAGCCATCAAAAATGGTTTCTTTCACAGTCTCACCAGCCAAAACTACATTTTTAATAGTCTGAAACTCAAATACCTGGATCAGAAAAATAATTTCTCTTTTTTTTGTTGTTTTTTTTTTTTCTGGGAGGAGGGGGAAGATAGAAACTAACCAAGAAAACAAATACAAAATTAGGGATATCCCAATGTAAGCTTAGAGCAAAATAAAAGATCAGGTATGGCAACATACTTTTAGCCCTCCTCTTACTAAAAATCTGCTGAAACCAACAGGTATTCTACTGCCAATTTCGAGTGGACTTTTCCCACAAATTTATTTCAAGTCTAAACAGCAAACACTTACTTTCATCATTGCCCAGGAATTCATGTTGCAAATCTTCAAACACTTCATTTCTTCTGGTTCCTTCTTGGATTACTGGAATATTTTGATGAACGCCATTTTGGTATGGTTTATAAGTCACTTTGTAAGATTCTGGTGATTGGTCACTGACAATGTCAGATGCAACAAACTGCTGTTGTGACAACATATACATAAGAGGACATAAGTTAAAACTACAGCTGTAGTGAAAATTCTTTTCATTTTACAGATTGACATCAAGACAAGCTCTTGCAGCTCTTCATTTCCAGGGTCCAATCCAGCACACCATTAAAGGTAATAAACATTTTCATGAAAGCTTCCACTTCAGGAGAGCAGTGAAGTGTCAGCTTCAATGGAATAAGCACTTCAGTGAAGCCCATTAATTAGCCAACAAGAGTAAAAAACCCATGAAACCATCAAAACCAAAGCCATTAACATGCACATATGAAAATCCAATTATTTAACACTTCATTGTTTTAAATATACTACAGAAGCTTCCCATCATTGTTTAAACTGATAAGAGATTGAAAGTGTTTAGAAATACTACTATCAATAGTTAAAGACCTGTGAAAACTTTCCAAAAGAGACAAAAATGCATCAGATTCTGAAATACCTTAAGATGTTCCTTTGGAGCATCTGGAAAACTTACTATTTTACTTTGCTGATTGCTAAATTCTGGTTTATGGCCATTTGCGTATGGCCTGAAGTTTTCAGGAAGATGATACACATTGTTCTGTTGGTAACAACTTGGAGCATTAAACCCATCTCTACCAAGATACACATCATCAGGATCCTCTTGACCATTCTGGCCACAGTAGTCATCTTTAACATCATATAAATGTTTTTTCTCTGCGTCGTTATGTAGGCCATTCCAATTCTTTCCAAGCTTTTCAATACGATCATTTTGCTGGTCACGCAAGAATTGTTCAGGGTACAGATTTTGTCCTTGTTCATAACTCTAGGAATGGATAAGAGGTTTAGAATTGCACTCCCAAAACTCAGACTTCCTCCCACCCACACTTTTTCTGGGGTTACCAGCCCTCAAACTACACGTACTGAAAACAGATAGCAAAACATGCCACCTACATGAGAAGCATTTCTCTAACGAATTGAAATAGTAGTTGGCATGTTATTATGAACATGCAATTCCTACTAATTAAATCACTGTGCATATAAGCTTACATTTTGAGGATCACTTATCAACGAATGACCATTCCACCTTCCATCGTGCTTCCCAGGCTCACGTGATCTAGAGAAAGACAAGCAGCTTAACTAAAACAAAACAATCCATCTCTTCGTCAAATTAAGTGGCATCTAGTTTGTTTCTCAGGGAACACAAACCATATCACAAACTGCATTACAGTTCCCATTTTCCTTGGACTGCTTTTACAGACCTCACCAGCTAAGATTTTGCTCTATTCTCAAAAACACAATAATAAAAAATGGTGAAAAGAGCCTTACTGCTCCTCAGTCTCATGAATGCTACAGTCTGAACAGCTGGAGAGCTGGTTTCCACTGTCATCCAGCATGTCATGGGGAAGGTCTGTCAATAGTAGTTTCAACTGAAATAGAAGAAACAACATTCATTATGTGCTTTTCAAAAGAATGAGTACAAGTTCAGTGCAAAGAGATAGAGAGAGGCAAAATAGGTCACTTGCACAAAATCCTATTTTTCTTCCTCAAAGGAAAAGTTCACAACATTGGAACTCACAGAGAGACTTATATCATGGAATGCTTAAAAGACTAGAGCACCAACCAAATGATTTTTCTGGCAAACTCTTCTTAGGAAATGAGCTGGTTTTTTTAAACACTTAAAAGAGAGAAATGGGAAGAAGCTACATACACAAGCCTTCAATTTAAATAATTCATCCTTGTTTACCTCTTGTTCTCTTGCATAATCCTCTTGGTCATAGTCTTCATCTTCATGTTGAGTTTGCAGAGCTCCACTATCGAAGTCAAGGGACATTGCTGTCTTCCAATGCTTTTCAGTATGCAGCAAAACCTATTGCAAGACAGGAAAACATCACACATGAATGGAAGTGTGGGGCAACCAAAAAGAACACCCTCATTCCATGAATTAGGTAGCCAAACACAAACAAAAATAGCTTGTTTGAAACAAACATTGTCCATTATCTAACATTATCTAACAGCTTTTGTTTCTCAGGATACCTGATGCCACTCATTTCTAAGAATTTAGCATTTAAAACAGATTATTTGGGCTTTTCATACGTTGACGTTATTAAATTATTGATGCTTAGTTACACCCAGATATTATTTTCTCCAGGCATGCCATGTATATACTGTGACAGCTGTCAATAGTTATGTCCACTTCAAAATCTTCCTTCATGTACTTCTAAAGAGTAACTACATCTTGTAAGAAATACCGAAAGCACGGTACTACCTGTACAAGCACCTGTCTTCGAGCATCCCCTAAACCCCACAGCGTGAGCGGCAGCGGCCTACCCCGCAGAAGGGCGCTGAGGGGGCTCAGCCAGGCCCGCATCGCCCGTGAACGACCCCC